AAGTTTCCCAAAGTTGGGGGACCCCAACATAGACCCCAAAATGGAGGGACCGCCAGATTTGGTTCGGGAATCGACCGAAGCCTTTGAAGCAAGTGAAGCTAGTAGCTTCGGAGCTTCGCCCCCTAAAACTGAAGCAAATGGCTTTGCCCGGAGCTCTGCAGCAAGTGAAGCTAGTAGCTTCGGAGTTTCGCGCTTCGCCCCCTAAAAATGAAGCAAGTTGCTTCGGAGCTTCGCGCTTCGCCCCCTAGAAATGAAGCAAGTGGCTTCGCGCTTCGCCCCCTAAAACTGAAGCAAGTGGCTTCGGAGCTTCGTGCTGCAAAACTGAATTTTTTCTGAACCACCACTGGCGCACAATCCAAAAGGAGGCTATGATCTTACTCTGTCTTGGGTACCATAGTAGTCACGGACGTCAGTCGGTCACAGGATCAGGCGCTGAGCACTTTGGCTCCTCCAATAACTAATCTAGAATAATTTAGAGACGGATGATTATGGAGTCAAGGTCGGCTAGGACCTCGTACCATAGTATCCCCAAATAAAATGCTACCCAACTAGAATTTCTCAAAGCAGGGTGTTTTTAGGGACCTTACCAAAAATGGACAGGTTCAAGGAGTTAAGGGAGACATTGGGTTTAAGGAATTTACTTCAGGGCTTTGGTTTTTAGGATGCCAGGTTAAGGCTTTGGGGTTTCAAGGATTGCCGAAGCAGGGCGTAAGTAGGCATGCGGGAAGTACTTGAGGTGTTGGGCATCTCAGTTGCGACTTGTGGCCTGGGTTATTGGAATTTTTCGGTTCCCGGCACGGGGCTGGAGGTAGGGATACCCGCAAAGGCTTTCAGGGAACTTTGGGGATGTCGAGATTTGAGTACATGTGGACCACTGCCGGATTATGTTGAAAATCTCACCTTTCGTTGTGAAACCCGAAATGTTGGCACCCCTTGCCCAAAGGAACCCTGCCCCTCTGTAGACAAGCCGTCAATAGTTCTGTTACTATTGAAAGGATGATCTCAACTAACCCTAAACCCTAAACCCCTAAACCCTAAACCCTAAAATAAAAGCTCAGGCCGGCAAACGGCCATCAAACTAAGTGGTCATCTTGAGTATGAATGGAACGACTACAATGGTCGAAGCCTTAGCCCAAGGCAACAACCTTGCGACGTGCACTTTTCAAACAATTTTTTTCCACAGGTAATTACAACGTATACTAAAACACAGGGATCTCTTGCAGGAGGCGCCATGAAGAAGGGCTGCAAACCTTGAACCCTAAGCCCTCAGTTTTTCAAATCTTGCAATACCGAACCTGACATTTTGCATGAATCTGCGCGCCTTCCGTTCCCAGAAGTACTCAGCAACCTGCGTCGTCGATTCTTAGTTTAATTCGTCATGTTGGGGCAGTCTAAACGGTAGGTTCGCAGGTTGTCAAAAGCGTGGTCCTTGTTCGGCCCCCCATGTTGCCATATATTCCGGATAGGGGTTTAGGGCAGGCTGTTCCGGAAGGGTCCGAAGCTAACTCTCTAAAACATAGACCCTAATCCCGAGAACTTGAAATCCTTGAGCCACAAAACCTTTTCCATCAAAGCATCAAAGCCCTTCAATTTGACCCTAAACCCCTAAGCCCCTAGACCCTAAACCCCTAACTCCTGAACCCCTAAACCCCTCAACCCTAAAGCCCCCACCTAACCTCCCCTCCCTGAAGCATTACTACTATGGACCTCATTTATTCTCCCTCATGGACCGTCGGCCTGGCCTGGTCGGTGAAATAAGAGGGTTTAGGGTTTAGAGTAGGATTGGTAGCTCTTTGGGGTCCCTATATGGGGGAGTATGATAGGGGTTACAAAGGGGGATGCTGGGAGATTTCCTAGTGTTTTGTCACTGTTTTGTGGCGCCAAGAGCGTGCCTTTCTATAAATTTGATGCCCTCAACCCAGTAAGTCGACTATGCCCTAAATCCTACAAGACCCCGGAACACCCAACACCTAAACCCAATGCACCCTAAACCCTAAACCCCTAAACCCTAAATCCTAGAAAGCAGCTGGCCTCGTAATGGCGGCTAAGATCTCCAATGAGACTTTGTACACGCTGCTGTTGCACGCGCTGCCTGGTTTGCTTCAGAGAGTTTCAATGTAGGGTTCAGGGACTTAGGGTACAAGAGATCTCGGGTTTGGGTTCAGGGTTTACGGTGCTTTCAATGCTATTTGTAAAGTGGGAACACTACAAGGATTATAGGCTGCAAAAGCATGATTACTCCAATTTAAGGTATCCGTCTTGGTCTACTTTGGCTGATGCTCCTTCCCTTCGAGGACTTTTGGGCGCTTCAGAAAGTACACTACTTGTACCTGCAGTTTTGTATACCCCTAAAGCCAAAGGGATAACACCTGTGTCCTATATCTTAAACGCTCAACCCACTGCCGAAACCATAAACCCTGAAACCTCAACTCTTTGCCCTAAACCCGTAACCCCAAATAATAATCCCTAAATCCTAACCCCTAAATCCTAAAACCCAAGTCCTAAACCATAGACCCTAGACCCCAAGTCCTACACCCTAAGCCTTAGACCCTAACCCCTAAACCCTGTGCCCTAAACCCTAAACTCTAAACCCAAATCCAGAACCCAAGCCCTAAACTAAATTCCGTGTGGGTCCCAGCTGCCCCTGCCAAGCCCGTGAGATCCAAAGCATGGAGAGCTCGCGCGCCTGACATGAAAAGCAATTAAAAAAGAAATACTTTGGGGTTTGGGGTTAAGGGTTGAGGGTCTGGGGCTTGATGGATTAGGGATCTGGTTAAGCATTTGAGGTTTATACGAACTGTATAGGGTTCAGGGTCTTGTGCGGGTTTTGTGCGTTTTTTGTTTTGCTGTTGCCCGATGCAACTTGTCTTTACCTGGGCTTGAATCCTCCTAGGGACCCAGACGCCTCATACAACCACTACTTCAGGGAACTCCCAACAGCTCTACCTCCCTCAGGACCCAGCAAACAAACCTGAGTTTGCTACCTGTTGGACCTGTGAAATCGAGAAAAACAAATTACTGCAGATTACCATGATATGGATATGTGAGCTATAGCCTAGTATTCCCTTCATAAGCCCTATACTAGACCCCTACATAATTCCCGATTTAACTCCCTTCAAGGAGTTTAGACTATAGCTCATATGATGAATCATTGTCATTTAATTAAACTTCCTTAACCGCCACCTAGAAAAGGCCCAGGATGGGCAAGGCCTGCCCTTCTTCATAGGAGGGCTTGAAGCCAGCGAAGAAGTTCACCAGGGGCTCTGGCCTGGCATTGGAAACTACTATACTACATTGGGGTTATATTGGAGCTTTATTGGGAGAATGGAAAATACAATGGAAACTATAGGGATTATAGGCCTTTATTGGGGTTGTATTGGGGCCCTGGCCTCGGAATTGCGGCAGAAGTTTTGCCGTCAACCGATGTTTAAGCCAAAAAAAGCCGACAACATGCAACTAACCCCAAGTCTAAATGCTGTGCTAGAGCTTAACACCCCGCTCTCCACAACACTAAACCCTTAAACCCAAATCCTCAAACCCTGAAACCCTAAACCCTAGATGCTCAAGCCTAAACCTGTACCCTAAACCCCCAAAACCATTAAATCCTCAAACCCTGAAACCCTAAACCCTAGATGCTCAACCCTAAGCCTGTACCCTAAACCCCAAAAGCCATTGTGGCAAGGAGCATGCTTTGGTTGGCATCCCGAACCCTCTCCCAGCGCTTCATGAGGACGCGCACCGCATCTTGCATCAGCTCAAGCTCCTTGGGTCAGGTAGACGCTGTTTAGGGTATCAGCCCCTAAATGGGTTTAGGGTTTAGGGTCTAAGGTGTAGGGTTTAGGGTCTAAGGTTTAGGGTTTAGGGTCTAAGGTTTAGGGTTTAGGGTTTAGCGCTTTAAGGTTTCGGGGTTTAGGGTTCAGAGCCTGGCAATCAGGGCTTTCATGAAGTCCTGGCACGACAGGGGTGCTCGAAGGAATGGCCCTGCTTGGGATGCCATCATGGCCTTTTCAGATACTGGGTGCACTTATCTTTTGCAAGGCATCATCGCAATGGCACCAGAAACGACAGAAACAGCAATTGCTTAACAGCAGCGGACCGAAGAAAATTAAAATTGAACACATCGATGCAAAAAAGAATCAGAAATCAACAAACACAAAAAGAGCAAAGAACATCAGCAATAACTAGGAACAGGATGATGAGAAACAGGAGCAAGCCCTAGACGGCTGAGTCTCCATGTCCGGGCGGAACAGCGTGCGGATGGTCTCTGGCATGTCCTCTTTGACCTCAGTTGCATGGGGACCTCAAGGATGTCTGTCCTAAACCCTATACCTTTAACCCTAGACCCTAAACCCCAAACCTTACACCCTAAAGTGACGAGAGCGCCTTTGACCATCTTTTGGGACAGGCCTCCGGCTTGGCACCATATCAAAGCTGTGGGCCTGGGAGGGTACAGTCTGTCAGGACAACCCCTCCGAGGGCCCTCTGGCATAGCATTCTACCACACAGCGTAGGCTCCCCAAAACCCAGGCCGGCAGGATTGCGGGATCATAACACAACGGCCCCAAGCAGCTCAAAATTTCCCAGCAGCCTCCCAGGCCTGCAAGAATCCTTTCCGGCCTGCCAGAACCCTCTCGGTGTTTACTGTTGCAGACTGCAAGGTGGAAGGGCTAGGCAAGTTTCTGCGCCATTGGGGCGCGCCTCCAGGACCTCATTTCAAGTTTCCCCACACTCCCACACCTTTCAGGGCTCAAGGCCATCCTAGCATGCGGCTTTCAGGCGTGTTCTTCTGTTTCCAAAGGCTTTATATCGGCATCTACGGGGTTCGGGATTATTGGACAGAGACCCTCCATCTTGAAGACGAAGAGGGTTGGACGCCCCAACGGATCCATGCGTGGAGGCCGGCGCGTCCCCACTGCTCGATTCCTTTGTCTTGAAATGCAGAAACTCGAACTCCAAGTCACCGCGCGCCATCTCAGAATGCTGATTGTGGCGGCGTGACGAAGAGTGAACAACAGAACTGGGGAAGAAAAGAAACAAGGAAGCCCCCCTTGCTAGGGGGCTTTGGGGGGTAGGAACCCGACACCTAAATGAGAATAGTTTGGATGGTTGGGGTGGGACTGCCAAGCGGCGCACGCGCGTGAAGGGTGCGCGTGTATATCTGAAGAAAAGGTGCGCACCCCGCGTGCGCGTCCACTGATGCACACCCTGAGCCCCAAACCCTACACCTTGAATCTCGAAACCTTAACCTTAAACCCTAAACCCTGAACTTGAACCCTAAACCCTAATTAATCCCTTATAATCCTTGAACCCTAAACCTTAAATCCTAATCCACAACGGAGCTCAAGCCACAAGACTCCTACCTCAGCACCCTTAGCACCAACACCTATCCCCCAACAAAATAGTCCATGATTCCCTACTACCCCGCAGCAGACCGAACACCGAAAACCGAATCCACAACATCACTTGAGGGACTCCAGCTGCTCCCATGCTTCATATCATTCAGAGACACTAAGGAGATTCAAGCGCTGTCTAGGAATGTCTCTCACGCCCATTGAATGCACCCTGCACATACAAGGCGAGAAGACCATTTACATGTGAAGTCCTCATCATACGTCGCTGCGGCTCCTCAGAGCTCCCTTTTTGGAGTATATTAGGGTTATGTAGGGATTATATAGGGATTATAGGGTATATATTAGGGTTATATAGGGATAATGGAAAAGAAAATGGAAACTACTCCCTTTATTGAGAAAGTCTCAATCTTGAGAATTTTTGGTGCTGCCAGGCAACAATCCGCGGCAAATTCCGCCACAGGTTCGTGAGAACATCCAGCTGCGCAATCATGAGCTCGTCGCGCACTTCTGCGTTGTCCTTACATGACTCACGGTTTTGAAGTCTAGGGCTTACACCCTAAACCCTAAACCCTAAAACCCTAGGGCTTGCAGGCAGGATAAACTCTCGAATCTTGGCGGCCTGCGTCAGACCCCAAAGAGCCCCAACTCCTAAAACCTTGGCCCCCTGAACCCGGCCTACTTAGGGTTTGGGGTTTAGGGTTTAGGGTTAAACCCTCAACCCTAAACCCTAAACCCTAAGCCCTAATTAATATCACAACCTAAAAACTACATCAGTCAACAAAAAGGAATCACATTGGAGGTTCCAGGTGAACACTTGAGACTGCCAAGTGTCTCTGCCGGGAAAGTAATTGAACAGGACAGAATCCGGCGCCGGCGCGAACTGTGCGTGGAGCCTCCCGGGTGAGTTGCTTTTAGGCGGAAGGCCCTCAGCATGAGGGTATTCGGTTTTAGGGTTTTAGGATCTAGGATCTAGGGTTTAGGATTTAGGTATTAGGGTTTAGGTAAATCCTAGGGTTTAGGGTTTAGGATTTAGGGCTTAGGATCTAGGATCTAGGGTTTAGGATTTAGATATTAGGGTTTAGGATTCAGGGTTTAGGGTTGTTGCTGGGGACTCTTGGTAGACAGACGGGTTCTCAGGGCCTACAAGGTCTCTGTGTACCTATGAAGGAACACACACGCACAGAGGGAAGTGTAGTCACTCCGTAATGACTGTATATATGCATATACAAACACACAGGTGTGTATGTGTTGTGCGTTATTTTGCTGCTCCCTGATATCCACGAGTAGAAGAGAATGCGCGAAGAAAGCACGGGATGCCCCCTTTGATGCCCTAATAAAGGGTCCAAGGTATATTGGCCCCAATGGGTTCCTGCACAAGTTACTGGGGTGGTCAGGGGGACTTCGCCAAGTAGGTTAATACTGGTGGGGGTAACTGGGGAATTATAAATCTTATAAGGGTTAAAAACCTACAGCATTTACCAAGTGTCCCTGCCCCTCCAAAAAAACTACTTCAAGCCCAAAGTACCTGCTATTTAGATACTTGGTAGTTTCCCAGAATAGGGGGCCCCTAATTTGCGGTAATCCCCTAAACCCTAAACCCTAAACCCCTAAACCCTAAACCCCTAAACCCTATCCTGGGGGATGAACACGCAACTTCGACCTCGCTCCTCCAAAGGCCCAAAATTGCGCTTTTGGGGTTTAGGGTTTAAAAACACGGTTTAGGGTTTAGGGTTTAGGGTTTAGGGTAAACTCTAAACCCTAGACAGTGAAGAAGGAGAACGCCCATCTAGATAGTACTGCTATGATAAGTAATGGCAATAGTAGATTGTGTGATGAATGAGCACTGTTCAATATATATATATATAGATACATACATATACATAAAACATATACATGTACATAAACATATACATATACATATACATATACATATATACATCTA